CGGGGAGGGAGGGACGTTCAAAAGGGCGGATGAGCACCGCTACAGATAAACATGCATGGGCAAGAAAGTACAGAGATATAAGATAAAAATTCACGATAGGATGACAGTGCACGGACAGGCACTTACGCTGCTGTGTCTTTTGCGCCACCTTTGTTTTCATGTGCACGGTGAGGTTCCGCCGCTTGCAGAACCGCTCCGTCCAGCGCTGACTCGCCTTCCACTTGACGTCCGCGAACAACACCTTCATCACCTCTTTTGACCAGTCTTGCAGCCGGCCAACTGATACTGCCACACCGCGGCGTCGCCAGTCCAGGAGTTCGGCATACACCTTCATCTCCATGGGTCTGTACCAGGAAGACCTTCCGCGCCCATGAAGTCGACACCGAGCGCTGTGTGCAGCCTTGAGCTCCTCCGCTTGGTTTTTCCACTCCGTGAGGCATTTGCGGTGTATGCCTAACTCTCGCGCGACCTTGCTTATCGATGCCGCAAGCTCCAGCCGAACGAGCCACTTCAGTTTCTCCTAGGTGGTGTAGCGCTGCCGTTTGTGTTGAGAGGGCTTGTGCCTGGGAGAGGGGGGGCGGGCATCTCGATTCTTAGAGGAGGGGTGGGGTCGTTTTTTGTTAATCGGTGGATACGTTGGTATCGGCATGTTCTCGCGTGGTGCGTCGCGCCACCAAGATTCCACACCGTCATCGTCCGCGTCTGTAGCCTCACGATCTGGGAACACGTCCTCCTCGGCGCCCTCTTCACCGTCGACTCCACCGTCGCCTCCACCGTCGCCTCCACCGTCGCCTCCACCGTCGCCGTCGCATGTGGGTTGTTTATCGGCGGCCACGTCATCGTCGGTGCCCACAGCCGACTCGTCCCACGTGCAGGCTTCAGGATTTCCCCACCGCGGTGCAGTCGGCGGAGCATCGATTCGCTTAGCCTTGGGTGTGTCCGGTTCAGACAGCCACTCGTCGAAAGTGGCTGGCAAATACAGCTGGAGCACGGGCCGTTGGTGAGAATTCGCGTCAGGAACAGGAGGAGTCGGAGGATTCGGAGGAGCGGGAGGAGCAGGAGGTGCAGGAGGAGCAGGAGGTGCAGGAGGAGCAGGCGGAGCAGGCGGTGCAGGGGTTGTAGGTGGCACTGGAGGCGCTGATGGCTCACGAGTATACCACTCGTCCGCGGTAAGTCGCCACGCGCGAGTTGGTTTCTTCTTGAAAAGGAAGTGCGTCCCACTGAATTCCGCCATGGCTTCGCCAGCCAGGCGGGCTAGACTAGAAACTGAATGAAAAAAATGAGGAGGAGGGTGCAGAAATGGGCAACGACGGGGACCCCTGCGGGCTAGCGGCTCGGGGTCCTCGTCAATGACAGGCAGGAAACCCCCGCCTACCCCCGTAGAGGAACCTGCGTGGTAGCATGTTCGCTGCGCTGGCAGGGAATCTTCCCCACCCTTCGAGAGGGTTCGGAAGAAATGCAGATGCCACGCAGCGCATGCGGCTGTGATTGGGCCGCACGGCAACATCCCCGTCACTGCTGTCACCAGGCCTCACGTTTTCAGAGTAAATTACTCTGTTTCTCTGAAAATCAGAGTCATTTTTGAAAGTAACTCTGTACCCGCTGGGTAATTTTTTTGGGACTTCCGATTTCTCTGATTTGTCAGAGTTATGCTGTAGTTTACTCTGAGGCCTCTGGGTTTTTTTTTCGGGGACCGAATTTACTCTATATAGGGAATACCTGCCGGCCCCCCCTCCCCCGCCCCCCTCCCCTCCCCACCTCCCCCTGCGTTTAGCGGGTTTTCCCCGAATCGTCGAGATCATTCTCCTGATTTCTGTCGTGTGTTGGCGGCAATATGAGCGCTGATTGGCTACCGTAGTTTGACAACTTTCCCAACCAGCGCACGATGCCAACCAGTCCCCTCTCTCTTTATATCTGAAGTGAACGTCGACGTTTCCCGACGAAACTTTGAGGGACGTCGAGGAATCCTGACGGTCGGAACGCTCAATCCGAGGGTTGAGATTCGCCAGCATTCCCCGACGAAACTGTACATCCGTCGACATTTCACTTCAGACACGCTCTTAGTCAGATTATCGGTGCCGCCAACACCTCACTCTGAAACATCGCAGTGAGGGGGGAAACGTGGGCGACGCGGAAATGAAACACAATGCAAGTACAAAAGGCGAAACAAAAACCTATTAAGGTCGTGGTACACCAAACTTAACTAACATCAGAGTAGAGAAAAATATTACTCTGGCGTGCCTGGGTTTTTTTTTGAAAGTATAGGGTTACTCTGACAAATCAGAGTAAGGCACAGGAACAACCCTAGATTTCAGAGTTGGGAAAAAAACTACTCTGGAAATCAGAGTACCTAAAATCCAAAAATAGGCCCTGGCTGTCACATTCGATGGTTCTAAACAACTTTGTGCGGTGGGAAACCGAACCGCAGCTGTTTTTGCCTGAAAACCATGCACGATCCCACTTGTTGCATGATCCGTTGGATTCGCCTTATTGCGGGCTTCAGTTTAGTATGCTTAAAATTGAATTTCATTTTTTCCTTATTATAGGCGCATGCGCTTATACAGACACCTCAATTAGAAGCGCACCCCCCCAAAAAACACGGTTTTATTATAAGTGCACCTGCGCTACGGTACTGTCAAACGACCAGGATTCTTTGTGGATTGGTGTTACGGGTGCAATGGAACGAGATAGCGAGGATTGCACTAGTATGTGGGTCAAAAGTACAAAGTATGAGTCAAGGCATGAGCAAATACTTGTATGTCCGAAAACCTGCAACGGTTACGCGGTGCGTGCGAGCTAGTTAGGGTACGTTCCTGTGGAGACACTTGTGTCTCAAACCCTTTGTGACACCGGAAATCAGCATATGTCGTAGTGTGTCACAAACGCGGACCGCATTACTTCGATTCACACAGTATTTTACATTGGTTGGCGGGAATTGCGGGGGTGTCGCGGACGAGTTACATGAGGTACCGTCACCTTGCGGAAATTGCACACGTCCCGAAATGTCACCCTGTACTGCATGTACCTGGACAATCGAACAGGGCAATTTTCGAGCGGGAAAGGAAAACCGCCCTGCCCCTGCAGACAGATGACTGGTGGATGCGACCGTCATGACACATCCCTGCCCGACTTCCAACACACCATTCCAACTACGCAGACAGCACTCACCCGCCCCAGTCCATTCTTGTTCTACAAACCCCTGCTCTCTCTCCTTCCTGTTTCTTGTTCCTTCTTCCCAGCCGTAGCCATGGCCCGAAAGCGCAAGAGCGCCGCTAGCACTGCTGACTTGTGCCCGCGGGATCTCAACGAGATCCCGTACATCGCTTGGATGAACAAGCAGCTCGCGGCCGGCCGCAAGCCCGCCGGCCCCCTGCCCGATGGTGCGCCCGGTGCGGGAGACACCTCGTTCGAAGCCCCGCGTGACGTGCCTACCCGCGGACGCCCTCATGCCCTCGTGGACGACGAGGCCTTCGACGACGATCCTGATTTCAATGACTGCGACGAGGCGTACGACGACGACGCGGACTCTGGCGAGGAGCCGGACAAGGGCATGTCCCCCTCCGAGGACGAAGACGACGGCGACGAGGACGCTGAAGACGACGAGGACGTTCCCGAGGAGGCACAACCCACTACCCCGCCTACCCGTCGCGGCCGTGCGTCTACTGCGGCCGGAACCAAGACTGCCGCAAAGGGCGGAGAGCCTCCTCGTGGCGCGTCGAAGACGCGCAACCTGAACCCTGTCAGGCGGAGCGTGTGGTCTACCCGCGAGAGCACCATTTTCGTCGCAGCTCGTTGGTTCATGAAGGACGAGCTGGGCGCTCTCCTCGGCAAGCAGGGATCCCAGTACTGGGCCCGCCTCGTGCGTCATCTCGAGCAGGAGAACCCCGGGTGGGTCCGCGGCGTGAACGCACTGCAGAAGCAGTGGCGCAACCTCGTTAACGTGTATAAGCAGATCAAGAAGGGGGAGAAGGCGAGCGGCAAGGGGGCGGTGTGCAAGCCTCCATGGTACCCGTACATGGCGCTATTCCAGAACAACAAGGCTGTTGGTAACCCACACGCTGTCGACGGTGGTGGCGCGGCTCACGTCAACGTGCCGTGCGGTTTCGCGGTTCCGTCGCCATCAGCACCATGCACATCTTCTCCGACTTTCACCGGTGAGTTTGCAACAACTCTGATGTTCGGACCTTTACGTTTTGGTGTGGCACTTGTGCAACTTTGTTTTAGGGTAGGGAAGAAATGTGACGTAATATCACACACTAGTCGGCTACTGATACAACTCTACGTGGCTCACGTGTGCAGCACCAACGCCGCAGGGGACGCCTACGTCGAAGCGCCCACGGGTGGTGGAGACCGCAACGGTGGCCGCCGCCAAGCTGGTGTGTGACACAATCAAGGGCTGCCACTCCGACGCGATGAATCGTATCGAAGTCCTCGTCCGCGCATGGATGGAGCAGGATGCGCGGATTGCACGCGAACGCGTGCAGCAGCCCGCCCCCTTCCCGCCTGCCCACGACGGCATCCCTGGGCATGCGACGCCCGCCGCCGAAGGAGGCGACGACGGCTGGCTCCGCCGCGGGCAGGCGGCCGACAACGCCTCTAACCCTGATGCGGGCGAGGATGTGTGGGTTCGCGGCGCCGACGAGTGAGGTAAGACGACTCCAGAGCCTCGCCCAACCGCTTGCGCCGTTCTCGCAAATTAGCCTGCGTGCACGGGTTGCACGGCTCCCACTTGAATTCGCTGAGTGCACCACGAGTCCTCCACGGGTCTCGGTTTCGGGGCAAGTTCGCCCACGATGCATTCACCCGCCTAACCGCTCCCATCGTTTCACACATGTTGTGCAGGATGACGCCACAAGACGCCCCTGCAAGAATGCGCCAGAGCACGCAATCATTGCGGCCCGCGAATAGACGCCACCGGCCCTTGAATGCGCCGATGCAACGCTCTACTGCCATGCGCGTAGCGCTTTGGCAGTAGTTGAAGCACTGCTCCCAGTCATCCATTAGGCCTTCACGGGGTGCATGTAGGGGGGTCAGGCAGAAGTCCCTGAGTGGGTAGGCAGCATCTCCCACAATTTGGTATGGCGCAATGTCGCCGTTGTGCAACCTTTCGTGTAACGCGCTGTTCATGAACACCCTCTGATCGTGTGCACTGCCCGGGTATCCTACCAAGTAGTCCCAAATGATGCCGCGAGCATCGCATGTGATCTGCAGTTGCACTGCGTAGCATGACTTGCGCGTGTAGTACTCTTGCCTGTGCCCCTCCATCCCCTTCATGGGTATGTGTGTGCCGTCTATAGCCCCCACCACCGCAGGGACTCCCTTGATGGCGCGAAACTCCTCCGCCATCTCATCGAGGTCGTCACGGCTCGGGAAGTGGACCCACTGCTGCTTGAAGGCCGTCGGGAAGTGCATGAGGAGCGCATCTACCAGCGTGTGGCACAGCGTCTTGGACAGGCCGAAGACTGCCGACAGGTCTCGAAACGACATGCCGCTGGCCAGGTATTTGATAGCCACAAGGCATGCCACCTCGTGCGTGATCAAGTATCTGTCAACGTAGGGCTGCATGTAGTGCGCCATCCCGTTGACAATGTAGTCAAGAATTGCGCGGTTGATGCGAAACAAATCCCTGAATTCTTCCTCCCCCATGCCTTCCAGGTCCTCTAGCAGCAGCTGGTACCTGCGCCGGCGAAGCCCTGACCTCCTTTTCCGCTCGGCGGTGAGGTTGGAGCCATGCGAGCTAGAAGCCGAGGACACTTCCTCGGTGAACACGTTCGCCTCCAGCAAGCCGCAGCCGCATGAGGAAGGGCACGTCGCGAGGCTGTGCCATGGATGCTAGACTGGGAGGCACATTATGACTAGTGGGGTGGTGGTTTTGTACTTGTGCCAGTGTTTGCTGCTGTAGTTGAACACAAGCCTGTGTGTGTGTAGTGTTTCCGTGATGCCCGACTCGACCCATTTGCAACACCATCCACCGTGTCTAGACGCCGCCGCGACATTCATTGCGGGTTGCGCTTTTTTGGACTGGGATGCCCGGCGGGAAAACAGCAGCGGGGTCAATCCAAGTGGTCGCCACCAATAGAAAGCGCCCACCTGGCCGGTCCCATCTGTCGCTCAGAGTCGAGGTTCATTGGTTGTTTGAGACACAACATTTTGCAAATTTACAGGCGCGATCCGGGAAAACGGGGGTTGAGACACAAGTGTCTCCACAGGAACGTACCCTTAGTGCTAGGCTGGCATCGAGGTTCGGGCTAGTCCCGAAGCGTAGGCCAACTCGGCCAGGCCAGCGGTGCATGGTTCGCGCGAAGTTGGCGAAGCCCATTAGCAGTAACGGGCGAACGTGTGGTGGATGGTCGCGGTAAGGACTGTCAATAGAATTCTTTACAATTGGATGGGAGTGAACACAGCTGAAAACTGAAGCAAAGAGGCAGTTCAAAGCTAGGCATGAGTGTGAAGCGTTTTGAAAAAGAGCATGGTTTTGAAAACCAGAATTGCCTTTGTGAGTTGTTCCTTTGTGGTTCATGAAAGATCAAATCTCATTCCCCTGGGCACCAACGGTTGGAATGCAAAATTCCTTTCTTCTATAGATTTTAATTTTGGATTCCTACACTCGGGAACACTATTTCAGCCAGAGCCCCACGTGTTCTCGCCCATTCCTCCAACTGACAACTCCTAGAGCAGTACGCAATGTGGCACCCCGCGCAACAACCGAAGGACCCTGCACTCGTCTCCCTCCGCCCACACTCGAGATTACCACACACCTGCTTCTGGCTCGGCAGCAGCTGGTGCTGCCGTGCATTTATTAGTAGGGCAGACGCGTGTTGGCGCAACAGCAGTTGGTGGTGCAACACTTGTGCTGCTGGCGTGTGCAAATGAGATGGTTGCTGCTGCTGACTCTCATGAATGCTCATACTATCTGATAGCAGCACCTCTGGGTGTTGAATGTACTGTAGGTATTGCAGCTGCTGCTGATGCTGCGGTGGCAGCTGCTGAACCTGCTGGGCTTGCTGCAGACATTGCAGGTGCAACTGATACTGCATGTGTTGCACCTGCTGCAGTTGCGCACAGGCAAAAATCTCTTCTTCCTGCTTGCGCCATTGCAGCAGGAAGGAGTGGATGGGGTGACGAGGCACCGGCAGCCACTGCTGCTCTTCTGCTCCTGGGGTAGGTGATTCGTGCGCTGCTGCTGCTGGCATGGACGATTCGTGTGCTGCTGCTGACCGGGTGAATGGTTCTCGTGCTGCTGGTGAGGCGAGTGGTTCATGTGCTGCTGCTGTTGATGAGGTTGGTGGCACACGTGCTGCTGCTGGCGGGATGGGTAGCAGCTGCGTTTCTTGTGTTGTTGCCAGTTCTGCAGTTGGCGGTGCTGGCGGCACCTGAGGTTTCACCTGAGGGATCACATTTCCTTGTGTCAAATCACAACCCCAAGCCCCACACAGCACCCGTTTCCTCTGCTCTTGCTGCTGCCTCACCTGCTGCTGCTGCTGCATTGCCTGCTGCTGCTGCTGCTGCTGCTGCTGCCGCTGGTGAGAGTTTAAGTGCAATTGCTCCCCGTGCTCCATTTGCCCCCCTCGCCGCACCTGCTGTCGTCGCAGCACTTGCAGGGCGCGCGCACGGGCGAGCAGCAAGTGGGCCATGCGCTCGTTGCTCTGCGCCCCCACGCCGTGCTGCACGCAGTGCGCCAGCTCCACCAGCGATGCAATGTCGCCGCCCTGTGCCGCCCGAAGCAGCAGCTGCACTGCCGTGCGCGCAGGTGCTGGTGAGGGTGCTTGTGACGATGACGGCCGTGATAGGCTGGTGTTGTTAGCGCCACCAGGGTTACCACCACTGGTTGTGGGACGGCAGCTACTGCTGCTGATGGTGCTGCTAGTGCTGCTGGCGCTGCTGTCATCACCATTGTCCCGCATGCTGCTGCTGCTGCTGCTGCCACTGGATATGCTACTATCAGGAACGGTGCTCCCAGCAGCAATATCATCAGAAGAGCTGCTTCTCATAGCTATGTCACTGGAAGTCTGAGTAGTGGTTTCACTGTTGGCCGTGCAGCTGATTCCAGCAGCATGCTGGCGGTCGACCTGGTTACCACTGGTAACCATTTCACGATGCCTGCTGCTGTCGTCACAGCCCCTCTTGGGCATCGCATTGCCACGGTTGAGCAGGAATATCGCCAACGAATGCAGAGCTGCCACGTGTCCGTCCCTGGCTGCTCGGGTAAGGAGCGCCGAGCCTGTGTAAGGGTCGTTGAAACAGTAGGTGTAGATCTGGCCGGACACAGAGGGAGGACGCAAGGGTGGTTTCGGTTCATTAAGTGTCGTACGGTCAACACAAGTGCAAGTGCATAGTTACACAAGAAGACAGAAAGGGGAAATTAAAACGTGAGTAGTGAGAGAGAAAGCAAAGGGATAGAGAGATCAGGGACGAAGAGAGCAAGAAAACGCGGGTTGAAAGGAGTGATGAAAGGGAGGAAAGGGGGTGGATGGGAGAGGGGGAAAAGGAGGAGGGGGGTAAGGAAGATAGAGGGAGGGACGGATAGAGAGAAGAACGGATAAAGAGACGAAGAGGGAAGGGGGCAGGGAGTGGAACCCACCATGCCGAGAATGAACAAGGCCTCGCTGTTCCCAGCAGCAGCGCAGCTTCTCAGAAAGTGCAGGTTGGAGTCGCTCCAGCGCTCAATGCGTGGCAGCAGCACGGAGGGAGGCAGAACGCGCAATATTGCGGGAGACATGCCAATGTCACAAAACTGGGAGCACCTGTAACGGGAATGGAGGCAGATGTATTAGAAACATAAATATACATTAGATTGGCAGCAGATATCGTTTTCTTTTTCGTTTGTTCCTCCTGAGAAATCAAGAAGGCACAACTAGAGTGTAATGAATTAAAATGTTAAGTGCGAAATTAAGTGCGAGTAATACAGAACGCGCGAGCACGTTCGCTGCCGATTCCCCATGGCCAACTGATGGATCTGGTCGGACACAGATCTGCGATCGGGTCTGTTTCTGGCGCATAAAAGGCGATTTACAGATGGACGTGCCTACACGAGGAATGGCTACACCGAGGACGTGCTCTCACTGTCGACGATTTATTAGTAGGCATGCCGTTCCGTGCCGCGCGTTAACTCGTTCACCGAAACGGCTGGTTCACGGCTAGTTCACAAAGACGGTTCAGCTGAGACGGCTCGTCGGAGACTCTTCAAACATCCCTATTTACGGTGCGTGTCGCGCGCACCCTCGTGCCTTCCGTGCGTGTCGAAGCCCTAAGTCCCGGGGACTCTGTCGAGCAGCGTTTGAGTCACGACGTACTGTACGTCACGAGTGTATATGGAAGACTGTGACAACGAGCGACAAGAGCAACACGAGCGACACGAGCGGACTGAGGCGTAGACGAGGAGCGAGCTAACTGAGACGTACACGAGAAGCGTGTGGGCGTATTGGCGCGGCGAGCAGCCGGGCGACTGCAGGCAGCAGCGCAGCACCGCCTCCACCAGCTCCGCCTGCACGCGGCGATGATGACGGGAACATGGCACAGGGGAGGAGAAGAAGCAGGGGAGTGGAGGGAGGGAGAGGTGAGCGCGGAAGGGGGACAGGCGGAGAACGAGCGGCGCGGTGCTGGAGGAGGGATGGGGGTAAAAGGGGGGTTCGTAAAGGAGAACAGTGGGAGGGGGAAGAGGAAAGTAACGGATTTGAAGCGTGAGCAAGTTACCGGCGAGCAGCACAGTTACCATCACGATGACTTACAGGAAGATCGGTAAATCCGCGCCGTCGGTTTCGGCGCTTGACGTCATGCAGTGACTCTGGCCGATCCGCCATCTGCTCGTCCACCAGCGGGAGTTCCGCTGAGTTCCCGAGGGGACCTTCTCGCGTTCAACGGCCCACTGCGCGTCTTGCGCGTCGGCGATGCGGCCGCTCGTAGTGTAAAATGTTCGAAGAGGAACAGAGCGCCTGATTTCGAGCACCAGTTGTAGTAGTAGTACTAGTAAGGTGCAAACGTACGAACAACCGTGAAAAAAGAGTGTGTCTGCGGGGTGCAGAAGGATATGTACTGCGAGACAAGCAGGCCTAGTCTGTCTGTCGCAGGCAAGCAGGCTCTCATCAACGAAACGCTGTCAGCGTTGATATAACATCCGAGGGTTCTGACTCGGAAGGTCTAGCTGCGCATTAAGGTAGTAATTCGCTGCTCGCGAGGAGAGAGACGAACGCGTAAAAGGCTCAGATTGGCTCGAGAGGATAATAGATTATGTATGATATGTTCAAGCCTTGAAAGAAGGGGCCGCAGATTCAGCCGGGGTAGGAAGGTCCGATCCAGCACGGGTGGGGGAAGGCGTGTCTCGGTCGGTGGTCAGGGAGAAAAGGGCATGGCGCAGACCCGTCGCGATTGGAGACGAGGAGAAAAGGAGGACGGAAAAGTTCGGAAAAGCGCGAAAGCGCAAATGCGTGAAAATCGCACAACGTAATCATGGTGTCGGGAAGAAGAGATGTACCGGGGTCGGAAGGGAAGGGAGGAGTTGGGGGAAAGGGGAGGGGACGAACACACGTGGGAAATACGGAACGACGTTCCCCCGGAAATTGGGTGGGTGGTCTATGGTGAGAGGACGCCTCGGAGCGGGACAGGTTGAACGTACTCTCTCCACACTCTGACACACGAGCGGGAGAAGGAAGAGAGAGTTTGCATTGGCGTACAGTATTTGTGCGGTGATGAGGGAGGGAGGCGTCTATAGTCAGAAGCATAGCCTGCCTGTACGCTTCTTTTATCGGACCGGCCGCGACTGACGGGACGGAACGGGACTCGGGACGGGAGCGAGGGAGTCGATGTGCTATGCGTTGATGGGAGTGAGAAAGAGAAGTGAACGGCTCAATCATGGCCATTCGCGGCGCCAAGTTGATGATGACGGTTGCGATTGCGAGGTGATGGAAGGGGCAAGGAACACGACTGGCGCACGCGCAGCACTGTAGAAAGGACGAACGACGTCGCATGCGGCTGTGCTGAGATTCCGGTGTGTGGCCGCGGTTCGGACTGAAAACGCCGACGCGAAGTCAGCTTGTTTTTCTGTCGTGCTGGCTACGCAAATCGGAAACCAAGCTAACAACTCAGCAGAGACTAGCGTGTGTGGGAGAGATAAAGCAGGACAACCGAGAACGGGTTGGAGGAGACATAAGTGTGGCCCTCTAGGCAAGACCTCCAGCGGTTATGGAGCAGTCTCGCCACACTTCAATTTTCTCCATTCTCGGTGGAGGTCCCCGGAGGATCCTACAGTATTATCCAGTCCAACCCGCGAAAGCTGCTCCGATACGTACAGCACAGTATACGAAATGTTTGGTTCGGTTCGGTTCGATCGACGGACCACCAAATACTGTCCATGCCATGCCACGTCACTCAACGCGGTTTCACTTGACTTGTCAGTCTGCTTGGCACTGGAGGCGATCACCGCCAGCGAACGAAGTTGCCATGATGCAGTGACGTGGAAATGAGGAAGAAGCATCTGTGGCTTCTTTGCTGCTGACGTACCCGTGTAACAACTGGGATGCTTCAGCTCGGATGACGTGGTACTGGTAGAGAAAGGAAAAACTTTAAAGTCGTGAAGACTTGAAAGAACATTACTAAATACTTTGCCCAGTTCAAAGTAATGGACTGCTGTACAAGCCGTTTTGTAAATCCATAACTATCGGACTGCCCTAGATGAACTGCATTTCGTGGACAGTGCCAAAGGAACGAAGACCCAATCGGAGGCAGGCGGAGTGGAGATGAGATGATGCCCACGCTGGTCTATTCTGCACCAACCAGAGCTGAAAGTGCTGCCAAAGACTTTGGAAGCTGGTAAATATTTTATTGGTGGATTTTACAGCCGTTATCCACCCGCCTAGACCACTCACCACATAGAGCTTTCGTGGCTCGAAAAAGCGGCAAACCTGACGTGGAAACAAGCTCCTCGCGCTCATCTCTGACACAGGAGTCAGCAGCAATCGCTGGAGCGTGACTGCATAGTATCGACAAGTGGTCCTTCGTTATTATCAACGTCCCCAGTATAGGTGTAACTGAACTGTAGTCACCAGAGGCTGTATACATAAATAGGGCTAACGCTACTAGACCATTTAGTATGAGTTTTTAATCTCTTTCAGCCATGGAGCATGTTCTTCCAACCCTTTTGTCGGGGCTGATTCATTTAGACAATCAAATTTATGAACCCTGATTTCTACTTGACTGTATTGAAGTTATACTTTTCCTAAAACGGGTATGAAGTGTGTGCTCGTCATCGGATGAAAAAAAAAAAAAAAAAAAAAAAAAAAAAAAAAAAAAAAAAACTTGAAACTGTTACGAATAGTGAAATGCGAAAAGACATCGTGCACTCCTAACCGCAGCAAGTGAAGCACACAATGTCGAGGCTGAATACGAAGAGGCAGAATGACGCGAAGGGTCGCGTACAATTACGGGGCATCTGGACCGTCATGACAGACAGCATCAGGCAGCAGCGGTGGCGGAGATTCTGCTCGGACAGTTTCGTAACCGTTTGAAATCGCGCGGTTGGATTTCGCTGTAATAAGGAAATGTACCCCTTATAATATATGGCTAGTTAAGTCGTTTCGTATTCCATATGTACTCTTATTGATATGTTTGTATTTACATGTTTTTATTATTTCAGACATTTTACATTCACTTTGAATTGAGGTCAAGGGCCCACCACTACCACTCAATTGTGTGCGAACCTTCTCGAAGTAATCCTGGGTACAATCAACTCCTGATCGCAGCAGGAACTTCCTGAGCGCTATTCATGTAGGGCGGAAGTCGTATGAAATTCTAGACTGTTTCAGCCTTTAGAGTGTAATGGCGGATACGGTGCAATGGAGAATGGAAAGATGACTGAAGAGCGTCTGGTGAGACCGGGGCGGAGAAGCACGATGAAGAAAGGGAAGGGGGACGATAGAGAAGAACGGATGCAGCTTCGAAGGGCACTTGACCTGAGTGAAGGGCGTGCAAGTAGTGGACATCAATGTGACAAATACAACATTCACTACTGCAGTCTCCCCTGCTGGCGGGCGCCATCTACTGTTGTGCCTGAGTGCGGTGTGCCTCTGCTGGTGGCGTGGAGAGGCCTGGTGTCGGAGAGGGAGGTCCTTGTCTTGGGAGTGCGAACCACCACTTCCCGGAAGGCTGCTGCTGCCGCCCACATACGCTTTTTATCTGCCCACGAGGGCACCGGGCGTGGGGCATGGGCCATGGGGCATGGGCCATGGGGCATGGGGTACGGGGCATGGGGCATGGGGTATGGGGCATGGGGTATGGGGCATGGGGCATGGGGCATGGGGCATGTGGTATGGGGCATGGGGAATGGGGCATGGGGTATGGGGCATGGGGCATGTGGTATGGGGCATGGGGAATGGGGCATGGGGTATGGGGCATGGGGCACGGGGCATGGAGAACAGGACAACAGAGGGTAGGACAAGAGCAAAAAGGATGAAAGGGAGAGAGGCAAACGGAGGGGCTGACCAGGGTGTAAGGGAAGGGCAGGCAAAGAGAAATGGAGGGAAGGACACGGGGGAAAGGGAGGGAGGGACAATGCCCGAAACGGAGGGAAATACAGGGGGGTAAGGCAAAGAGGAACAAGGGGGGAAATGGAGGGCAGGATATGGGGGAAAGGGAGGGAGGGACCAGGAGGGATACGGAAGGAGGGATTGTTGAGAAAGGAGGGAGGGATAAGGAGGGAGACGAAGGGAAGCACTGTTGGGAAAATGGAGAGATGGACAAGGGGGAAACGGATGGAAGGACAGTTGGGAATGGGAGGGAGGGATAAGTGGGGAGATGGATGGAAGGACACGGGGGAAAGGGAGGGACGTGCAAGGACGAATCGAGGGGAAATGCGGAGGGGCAAAACAGAGGAATGCACAGGGAGGAAAAAATGGATGGATGGGAGTAGAAAAGAGGGGCGGGAGAGGGATAAAAGGAGGAGAATGGAGGGAGGGAAGGGAGGTTGCGAGGGAGCCTGGCAGGAAAAATGTGGGCGACGGTCTTTGGAAGCAATGCGATGAGTTTGGTCAATGCTGGCGATGGGAGGGAAAAGCGAGGGCGGCGGGAAGGGAAAGCGGCGTCGCGACGGGATGGGAAAGCGAGGAAGACACTCAGAGAAAGCGTGGGCGACGGGATGGGGAAGGGAGGGCCTTGCCAAGTGCGAGGGGAGGCGAAGACGAGCGCAAAGAGTGGGGGAAGTGGGGGCAAGGACTAGGAGGGCATGGAGCGACAAGAGCCACGTACACGTACGGAATGTGAGTGACGAGAGTGTGTGAGTAACGAGTTTTAGCGTGTGAACTCCCCGCGCCCCATCTCCTCTCACGCCACCGCGTATTCCGCGTATTCCCGTCCCCTCACGGCAGCCCATCTCCTCTCGCGCCACTGCTTATTCCACGTATTCCCGTCCCCTCGCGACGCCCCATTTCCTCTCGCGCCACTGCGTATTCCGCTTCTAGCGGCGCCGTGGTAAACGGCACCAAGAGGTCGGCGGCGAGAAGGGCGTCGTCAGTCGGAGTGTCTGTGGACGACCTCAGCGCGGTTTGCGGAGAATGGTCGATGGAGCTACACGGCAAGGCACCGTCCACAATTCTAGCCCGCTGTGGCACTGCACTGCTCCCAAGGCTCTCTCTTCTAACTACTGCAGCGCACTGCTTCGCCATGGCTTCAGCTGCGTCGTCAACGCGTAGCGGTACTAGTAGGTGTGGCTCTGAGGAGAAGGGGTTCATGCCGCGAGGGGACGAGCGGATATATTCTCGCCCAACCTACTTGCGAATGGCAGCAGCAGCAGCAGCAAGCGCAGGTCGAGCAGGCGCCATTGAGGGATCCTGGCAGGCATCGCATCAGACGTTGCTCCCACGCTTACGCCTAACCTTTCCCTCTATGCACTAAGCTGTGTACGCTACAGCGCCTATCGCCATACGAGGCCTGCCCTCTCCTCCCTCCACATGCACGAGCTCGTTCCTGCCTGCCCCGCGTTAAGTCGAAGCGCGAGGAGCAGTGGTGTCGCACGACCAAACTGATTTTGAAACGACCAACTGAGATATGGGTGCTGCTGTGACCCGCCATGGCACGCGCCGGTGATTGCTCTACACAGCGACGGGTCTTCGTGTCAGACTTATATGACTTAGCCTATGTAAGCTATAGTGGGGTAGCACATATGGGGTACAACACATTTCTAGGGTTTGTACTTGTACACAACTTTTCCCTTAGTCATTCATTCCTCGTTCTTTCACATGGTATAGAGCAGGTTCCCTAGTGGGAACGTTTCCTAGGGCCCACCAAATATCGATTTTTTTTTTCTGCCCGGAGCGCGCTTCGCCCCTGCCCGAGTCGCGCCCCGTGTGCCTACTCTCCCGTCGCGTCCCCTGCCCTTAGTGGCCCGTCGCGCTCCCCTACGGCCTCTCACGGCCTCTCTCACGGCCCTTCGCGGCCCCTTCAGGCCCTTCGTGGCCCCATCGCGGCCTCCCTTCGCGGCCCCTTCGTGGCACCTTCGTGGCCCCCCTTCCCGGCCCCTTCGCGGCCCCTTCACGGCCCCTTCACGGCCCCTTCGCGGCCCCTTCGCGGCCCCATCACGGCCCCCTCGCGCCCCCCCCCCTCACGGCTCCCTTCGCGGCCCCTTCGCGGCCCCGCCCCGCTGCCCGTAGCGACCCCGCCTCGTCGCCCTTCGCGGCCCTGTCGCGTCGCCCCCGCCTCGTCGCGTCGCACCTGCGGGACCCGCGAGGCGCGGCTCCTGTGCGTCGCGACGCCCCTGCGGGACCCGCGTGGCGTCACCGCTACCCGCCTCGGCGCCCTGCCCTAACCCGCGCCCTGGAGCAGCCGCCACTGCAGCAGCCGCCCCTGGAGCAGCCGCCACTGCAGCAGCCGCCCCTGGAGCAGCCGCCCCTGCAGCAGCCGCCCCTGGAGCAGCCACCTCTGCAGCAGCCGCCCCTGGAGCAGCCGCCCCTGCAGCAGCCGCCCCTGGAGCAGCCGCCACTGCAGCAGCCGCCCCTGGAGCAGCCTCCTCTGCAGCAGCCGCCCCTGGAGCAGCCGCCCCTGCAGCAGCCGCCCCTGGAGCAGCCGCCCCTGCAGCAGCCGCCCCTGGAGCAGCCGCCCCTGCAGCAGCCGCCCCTGGAGCAGCCGCCACTGCAGCAGCCGCCCCTGGAGCAGCCTCCTCTGCAGCAGCCGCCCCTGGAGCAGCCTCCTCTGCAGCAGCCGCCCCTGGAGCAGCCGCCCCTGCAGCAGCCGCCCCTGGAGCAGCCGCCCCTGCAGCAGCCGCCCCTGGAGCAGCCGCCACTGCAGCAGCCGCCCCTGGAGCAGCCGCCACTGCAGCAGCCGCCCCTGGAGCAGCCACCCCTGCAGCAGCCGCCCCTGGAGCAGCCGTCCCTGCAGCAGCCGCCCCTGGAGCAGCCGCCCCTGGAGCAGCCGCCCCTGCAGCTGCCGCGGAGCCCTCGCCCTACAGTGGTAGCTGCCTCGCCGTTGCCGCCATCGTACACCTGCCCCTCTAGCCACTGGTGAGCACTGCCCTGCCCGTACTGCTGTTACTGCTGCTCTTGCTGCTACTGCTCTTTCTACTGCTACTGCTGCTCCTGGCTTGGCCAGATGCAGCTCCAGCGACGTCCGCGTGAGTCCCTCACGCCCCAGCAGCTTCGTGAGTGGTACGCTACTTGGGGTTGTCGGGGTGGCCGTAGTGGGAGTCGTCCTGGAGTGAGTAGTTCGGCAGCTGCTTGTAGTGGCCAGGTGCAGCTGCAGCGTCGTCCGTGCGCGGTCTTTTCGCCCCAGCAGCTTCGTGAGTGTTACGCTCAGCGTGACGGGTCACGGGGTACTGCTCGCTGTCCGTACGTCATTCGCACTGGTGCTCGGACTGGTCAGCCTTGCGGGACGTTTGGTCACGCAGAGTCCCGCTGCTTCGCCCGTCTGAGCGACGCCTGGCGTACGGAGTTTGGCGACACGGCTGAGCTCCCCGACTGGGTGGAGCTGCTTAGGCTGCGGGTAGATATCTATACTCTTGACTATGATGCTATCCTCACTGCCATGTATGCATTGCCTACTAGTGATGAGGGTGACTATTACCTGTGTGTTCCGCCTGACCCGGGCATTGAGGCTGCTGCTCTAGGTGCTGGTGAGGCTGCTGCTCTAGGTGCTAGTGCGTCTGCTGCCCCAGGTACTGGTGAGTCTGCTCTCTCAGGTACCACGTCGGCTCAGGCCTTACACACCTTCACCCTTGACTCGGGTGCTTCCCGCTCCTTCTTTCGAGACCGCACCACGCTTACGCCGCTTAGTCGGCCGGTTGCGGTCTCCCTGGCAGACCCCTCTGGGGGTCCTGTCCTTGCTCGCTTCTCCACTGTCTTACCGTGTCCGGCAGCCCCCTCTGGCACCCTGTCGGGTCTCTACCTCCCCTCGTTCTCTACGAACTTGGTGAGTGGTGCTGATCTACAGGATAGGGGGGTTGACCAGTTCACTCCTGCGAGTCAGCGGGTGACCCACTGTACGTGTGCTCGGACGGGCCGACACTTGGCCACGTTTACCCGTCGGCCGGGGTCGAGCCTGTACACACTGACTACTGCGTCTCCTCCAGTTGCTGAGTCTGGCCAGGTAGCTGCGTCGAGTCAGGTGTTTGCTGCAGCGTCCCGGTCTGGTCCTGAGTCTGCTCCCTGCTCGTGTCGTCTCCTGTCCCACCAGACTCTCCTTTGGCACCACCGCCTTGGTCACCCCTCCCTGCCTCGTCTCCGAGGCATGGCCTCCCGTGTCCTTGTCTCTGGTCTCCCCCGGTCCCTCCCTCCCCTCCCTCCGGGGCCTGCCCCTACCTGCGTTCCCTGCGTCGAGGGGCGGCAGCGCGCCGCCCCTCACTCCTCCGAGTTTCCTCCGACAGAGGCTCCCCTGCAGACTCTTCACATGGACGTGTGGGGCCCCGCCCGCGTCCGTGGCCAGGGTCACGAGCGTTACTTCCTGTTGGTGGTTGACGACTACTCGCGTTACACCACGGTGTTCCCCTTGCGCAGCAAGGGTGACGTCACTGAGGTGTTGATCGACTGGATCCGCGCAGCTCGTCTCCAGCTCAGAGAGAGTTTCGGCTCGGACTTTCCTGTTCTGCGTCTACACTCTGACAGAGGCGGGGAGTTTTCCTCCTCCCGTCGAGGTAGCTGTTGACTCTGGTGCTGCTAGGGGCGCTGAGCCTGCGGGTGCTGAGTCTAGGGGTGCTGAGCCTGGGGGTGCTGAGCCTGGGGGTGCTGAGCCTGGGGGTGCTGAGTCTGGGGGTGCTGAGCCTGGGGGTGCGGAGCCTGGGGGTGCTGAGCCTAGGGGTGCGGAGCCTGGGGGTACTGGGTCTGCTCGTGTGGCCTCTGGCGGTGCTTCGTCGAGGCGGGAGCTCCTCTCTCCGCAGGAGCTGCGCGAGTGGTTTGCCCAGCGCTGGAGCCGTGCTACTGGAGCTGGAGGTACTACTGTTGCTACTGGTCCTGGAGGTGCTCGCCCTAGCGGTACTGGAGCTGCTGAGACTGGGGGTGCTGCTGGGGCTGCTGGAGTTAGTCCTGCTGGAGGTTCTGCTGGAGCTGCTGGCGGTACTGGAGCTGACGGTCCTGCTGGAGTTGGTGCTGCTGGTGCTACTGGAGCTGCTGGAGCTGGAGCTGCTGGGGGTGTTGGCGTTGGTGGTGCTGCTGGCGCTGGTGCTTCTGAGGGTGCTGGAGTTGGCGCTGTTGGAGCTGGAGGTGCTGCTGGCGCTGGTGCTGCCGCTGGGGGTACTGGTGCTGTCCCTGCTGGTTCTGGAGGTGCTGCGCGTCCGAGGCCGTACTTCGTTCCACTCCTTGAGCAGGTTCTTGGTCTGCCGCCCTCTACTGGTCCTGCTCCTCCCTTAGAGGGTCCACAGCCTGTCCAGTCGCGGTCACAGTTACAGCCCGCCTCCCCCCTACCTGCTCCTTCTCCCTACACTGGTCCTACTGGAGGTCTTACTGAGCGTCGTGAGCCTGCGTCTCGTCCTGCGTCGCCTGTTCGTGCTGCTCGCACTAGTAGTCGTGCTCCGCGTCCGCGTCCTCCTGCGGTCCCAGGCACACACCAGATGGCACTGCGTCCTTCCACTGCTCCTCTGCGTGTCCCGTTGCCGTCTCCTCCAGAGTCCTCTCTTCCTGTCCTTGCTGACCCGGAGTCTGACTCTCTTCGTGCTGCCAGTCCTACTGTCACGCGTCTGCTGGCTACTGTTGTCACTGACCCTTCCTTTGAGTCCACTGCTGCGTCTGCCTTAGTTGCTGAGCTTGTCGACTTTGCTGCTCGCTGTCGTCTAGACTACGCCACTAGTCTCGTTGCTGGGTCTGAGTCTGTCTGTCCTCCGTCCGTCGGGGGTGAGTGTGCTCTTAGCACGGACGTCCTTGAGGACAGGCAGGAGGAGTTCCAGTGTTTTGC